ACACACACACACACACACACACACACACACACACACACACACACACATACACACATGTGCTTTGCTTTTATCGACTTAGTGCTCTTTTTAAAAAAAAAAATTTTTTTTAAATGTTTATTATTTTTGAGAGAGACAGAGTGCAAGCAGGGGAGGGGCAAAGAGAGAGGGAGACAAAGAATCCCAAGCAGGCTCCCATGCTCTGTGCTGTCAGCCCAGAGCCCAACATGGGGCTTGAACTCACACTGCGAGATCATGACCTGAGCTGAAGTCGGCTGCTTAACCAGCTGAGCCACCAGGCGCCCCGACTTAGTGCTCAGTTTTACCAATTTCTTTAATGGCCCTTTTTAAAAAGAATTTTATTTAATAGAAGAAGATGCTTTTAATAGATCTAATCATGTTATACTAAAGAATTTCACACTGTTGGAGTGCCTGGGTGGCTCAGTTGGTTAAGTGTCCAACTCTTGATTTCAGGTCATGATCTCACGGCTCATGAATTCGAGCCCCGTTTTGGGCTCAGTGCTGCTCGTGTGTAGCCTGCTTGGGATTCTCTCTCTCTACCCCTCCCCTGTTCTCTCTCTCTCTCTCTCTCTCTCTCTCTCTCTTTCTCTCTTTCTCTCTTTCTCTCTCTCTCTCAAATAACTAAACTTAAAAAAAAATTTCACAGTGTACAAAAGTTATGCTTCTATATATATGTACGTATGTGTATATATACACACACAAACACATATGATTCGTCTGTAAATTTTATAGCATAACCTAGAGTTGTCTGTAGAAGTTTTGCAAATTGATAGATTATTTTATCCTCCTCCGTTTAATTATATCCAATAATATAAATGAGTTTATTTCAACTTCCCATGGAAAAAAGAGCATTATCTAAACTATAGCACTTATTTAACTTGTCTCCTCAACCAGAAAAGGTATAAATCAGCATTTTTTAAAAATATAGGTGACTTCTGCTTTTTTTCAGCAACTTGAGAATTAAAGATGCCCATGTTTGTAATTAAGTGGGGAGAAAATGTTTTATTAGCGTTAGATTGGGAAAGCTAAATATAAAACTTCCTGAATTAGGTCTTTTAGGATCTAATTATGGTATTTTACCTAACCTTATGTCTATATAGATCATTTGTTTCTGTCTTCAGGTTGATGTACAAATACATATTCTGAAACCAGACAGTGGTTTTTTTATTGTTTTCCTACATATTTGTTTCCTCCCGCTGGATGGAATAATTGGAGTATTTTTATTTTTTACAAATGATTCGAGTTGTTAATATTTATTTTCATGGCTACAGTAGATCATTTTGAGGATTTTCTTGATTAGTGCTGAATTTTTAAATATCTGCATGAAATAGAAACAAAATTAAGGCTTGAAGATGACAACAGAGCTATAAATATGTTGATACAACTGAATCAATAGAATTACCGTTCTCTACCTTGCTTTTCTGCTTGAAAAATTATAGTTCAGGTATTAATTATAATGTGCTGTCATTCTAGTATGGTAGGTGATGATGAAGATGCATTGAGTGATTCAGAAACCACTGAAGCCTTGACCCCAGATATCTTAGCTAAGAAGTAAGTACTGAAGACTACTATGAAGCATTTTTACTTGTGTTTAATTGTGCAAAGTTAAATGCATTCCACTGGTACAAGTGTGAAAAAGCATGTGCTAAATTTATCTGGATTTTTCATAGCAACTTGTTTCTAGATTAAAATCAAAGTATGCAGGTAGCAGAAAGATTAGAGTACTAGAGGCTGGTACTCAGGTTCCTTTTGTCAATACCCTATGCTTTTTTTTTTTTTTTTTTTTTTTTTTTTTTTTTTTTTTAATATCCTGTGTTTTGTTTTTTTTTTTAATTTTTTTTTTTTTTTCCAACGTTTATTTATTTTTGGGACAGAGAGAGACAGAGCATGAACGGGCGAGGGGCAGAGAGAGAGGGAGACACAGAATCGGAAACAGGCTCCAGGCTCTGAGCCATCAGCCCAGAGCCCGACGCGGGGCTCGAACTCACGGACCGCGAGATCGTGACCTGGCTGAAGTCGGACGCTTAACTGACTGCGCCACCCAGGCGCCCCAAATATCCTGTGTTTTAAAGATCTAAGTAAGATGGAGTATCTGGTTGGCTCAGTCAAAAGCATGGGACTCTTGATCTTGGGGTCATGATTTCGAGCCCCATATTGGGTCTGCATCTAGAGATTTCTTAAAAATAAATAAACTTTAAAAAGGATTGAAGTAAGAAAGGCAAAAATAAGTGGGTTCATAAACAAAAAGCTCTATTCCTTTGCTGTTCATTGATTTCTGTCACCCTCCACTGTTCTTGTTGTTTACTGGTTTCTGTACTCATTCCCACTTTATTTTATTTTCCTCATCAGGTTATAGCTAGCATATTAATGAACTTTAAATGTTTTTATGAGACTGAGAAGTTGAATGAGACACTCAGTAAAAGAATATCACAGTGTTGATGTCTTTGTAAATGATTGTTGTGTAGATTAGCTGCTGCTGAAGGCTCAGAGCCAAAGTATCGGGTTCATGAACAAGAAAGCAGTGAAGATGAGGATAGTGACCTCTCACCTGAAGAACAAGGTAGTTGATTTCCTTTACTGCTTTTAGCAGTGTGCTAATAATTTTTGCTAAAATGAATTCATTATTTAATAATAAATTTATTTAATAATCATTATTTGAAGGTTGTCAAGTGGTTTTCCTTTTGAGGAAGTGGATGGTGGAGGGATTAGGGAGCAACATTTTTATAATTCAGATTCTGCTTGTGTGGGTTTATTGGATAACAACTCTCCTCCCCCCCCCCCCCCCCCCCCAATTGCAAGAATTTGGGAAAATATTACCATCTTTTTGTAAGTGTTATTTTCTTTGTACCTTTTTTTTACTATTTGGTATAGAGTAGATGCTCAGTAAGTATTTAGTAAATTAATGCTTTACTTTGTCTTTGAATATTTGGGTGATCTTAAAATGTATAGCAGTGAGAGCTAATTTCCCAATTGCTTGTGCTTTTTCTTTTTTTAAGACAGCAGTGAAACTTACCAAATGAACCAAGATGATTAGATGTAGAGTGAAGATCTTTATTAGGTCCCATTGAACAAAAAGAACAGTAATATCATAGACAAGGAGATAAAGAGCTCTCTCAACAGGGTTGGAAGAGGCTCTTGTAGCCCACATAGTAGATAGACAGTTAAGGCAGTGCTACCTACTCACGGTTTCTGTTTTTACAAATAACACTGGTTATCTGTGGAGGTAAGAAGACAAGATATTTCACTTTGTTACTTTTTAAACTTTTTGACCATGTCAATGTATAGTTTTTTCAAGAATTAAGATTGTTTATATAGTTTGTTTTTAACTATTTTTAAAAGGAAAATCCAAGCCTACCTATATAGGGAAAACGATGCAAGTAAAACACACGTACCCTCACAAAAAGAAAAAGAGAGTAGTAGTGTACTTGAAGCCACAGATGTTAACCTGTACTGTAAAAGAGTTCTGAAATTGTATGGCTAGGATTTTGAATATTTTGCTACTTAATCCTCAAGATCTTTGTCATGTGTAGCTCCTAAGATATAATTTGTTATTCCTGTCTGTCATCTTCAGAATATAGCATATTCAACAAACTATGAGGGTCTGAGCCTAATTGTTATACAAAGGAGCCATATACAGATAGCCTAATCTCAAGTTGTATTATAGGTCTTCTACCCTCAGTGACTTCCTAATTACTTTACAAAAATATACTCCAAAAGACCCTTGAAAACAGTTTCAAATAGAAGTTGTTTCTAGACCTAGATTCCTCATTATTCTCTTGAAAACATGATCTGTTGAGAAAAGGAATTTATTATTTAATCTATACTGTCAGTTTTCATTAAGGGATTTTTCCTCAAATTGTAGTTTCATGGATTAGCCAGCAGGGGGAGCAATTTGATTACAATTTCAAAAGTTCAGTTCCTAATGGTAGAGTTACTGACTCATGTAGGTGTTTATTGCTTTTAAACAAATTACATATTTGAAAATCTTTGTTTATTGGTAGAAATTCTTAGAAAAAATTATCTTGTAACTGATAGTATAACAATTAAGATACGGGCTATGGAGTCAGACAAATCTAAATTTGTACTCCAGGTATCTCTTGTCTAATTTGTAATTTCTCTGAAGTTCAGCTTCTTCATTTCAAATTGGGATCTATAAAAATACTTAGAGGTAATGCGAGCATTAAATAAGATAAAGGATTTAAAGCACTTAACACTGATTCATATTGTAAGTGTTCAGTGAATAATAACTTTTAATAATTTAAATAATTGGTATGTTCTGCATTATATTATTTTATAGAATAGTTTTAAATTATTTTATAGAATATTATTATTTTATAGAATTTTATAGAATATTTATATTATATTATTATTATTATTATATTATATTATTTTATAGAATAGTTTTAAAAAAGTGTACAAAAGAGACTCCCTTGTGAAGTTCACATGGAGAGTTGATTATAGTTAGAGCCAGGGCTGAAATCTTAATGTCCTTGTACTCTTTGCAATGTGTTTCTCTACCATACAAGGATTGTAGATAAAATGGGCATAAATATTCAAAGAAGATTGAGACCAGTAGTATTAGCATTTTTCTATGAAATGAATAGATTGCATATTTTAAATTTATGTCATACATTTTAAATATTGTAAAATTAGGATATATCTGTAACAAGCAAAACCAAATTCAACATCTCTTAGAATTTAAATAATTTTCTTAGACTATCAATAGTGTTCACAAGAAACACGGTAACATCAACTCCTTGGAAGAAGAAACTACAAATTAAGACAGCATCTTAGTACCTTTCTTTCCTTTCAGATCAACAAAGACTAGAATGAATGACAATTTTTCTTTGGCTGTGAATGTGGAGAAATAAGTTACTGATACACTGTTGGTGGGCATGAAAAATGGTTTGGCTTTTCTGTTGGGCAGTATAGCAATATATGAGCCCCAAGCTTTAGAAGAAAATGACACCCTTTGATCTAGCAATTCAGTTTTCCAGAGTCTGTTCCAATGTTTTGTAAACATTTTTTACAAAGTCCTACTCAGTATACATGTATGCATAAATTACAAAAAGAAAAATTTCACAAAACAGTACTCACCGTTACTATATGTAGTGCAATCCAGTTTATTCTGTTTTCATTTTCTAAAAAATGCTGGTTGTGACTCACTAAAGAGTCCTGATGCATGATTTGCAAAAAATACTAGTTCATATTGAGAAAATAATAGAACCAAAACACAAAAAATGTATGTGTATTACACTATAAAAACTGAAAATACAAAGGTGGGGAATCAGAAGTCTTTCACCCAAGAATAGAGGATTAAATGGTAACTCAGTACTTTACAATCATTTAAAACATATAAATCTGCTATGTACGTGGCAGAATTTTACTATGTCTTCATATACCTTATTGTCTAAACTCGGGATCATTTTAGAATGAAAGAAAGGGTCATACTATATTTCATCAGATGGTGCACATAAACTAAACTTGCCTGGACAAACAGGGACATATGGTAATCCTAACTATAGAGTAAGTGAAAAAACAGCATATATAAAAATATATGAGTTATTTTTAGAAAAAACATTTTTAGAAAATGCTCTAAAGTTAATGGTAATTTGAGTGAGGAAATTGTTTTGCTTTTTTTTTTAAGTTTCTGCCATAAATGTATGTTGCTTTGTAATGATAAATATTACCTTTTTAGTAAATATATCTGGTATTGGAGGCAATCAGAACCATTTTTAAGAATTTATTATTGAGGTATAATTGATGTTACATTAGTTTCAGACACACAGCATACTGATTCAACAACTGTATACACTACTCAGTGCTCATCATGATAAATATAGTCACAGTCTGTCACTGTAGACAATGATATTATGGTATTACTGACTGTATTCCTTATGCTGTATTTTACATCTCCATGACTTATTTTGTCACTGGAAGTTTGTAAAACCATTTTTTATATGTTTTTTTATCATTGGTTTTTACATCATCTGAATACTTGAAAGGCATCACTAAAAATTTAGTCATGAGGATTTGGTCTTTTTATTGGCCTCTTTTTTAAATTTTGCTTCCTTCTACCATATCATATTCTCAAACAATAAATCAAATCACAAAAGTAATTTTTAAATAGAGAAGAAGAAAGATACCTGGCAAGATCTTGGTAGTTTGAAACAAATGTTTATGGAATACTGAGATGGCTGTTAGTCTCAGAACTTGCCTTCTTCCAACCCAAATAGAAGCTGAAAAGTGATTGATCAATACTAACAAGAACTATAAATGCCTACTTTTGAAACATAAATAAGTGTAAGGCATCTGTAAGTGCAAATGATGGTGAAAACTTAGAGGGAATTAGAGGAGATTGAGAAAGTACTTTGAGTAGTCTTCTTCTGAGCTTTCTCTATGCTTTTTGGGCATTGAAATGGTTTAATGAATACTGTAATAAAACTATTGCAAATGAATTTTAATGCTCTTGTTTGACAGAATAAACAGTTGGCAATTTTATGTCACCGCCCCCTTTTTTTTTATTTACTGGTCTAAGAAGTTTTAAAATCTCAGAACTATTTCTTCGTAAACAGTTAATGTTTAAATGCTATTTACAAAATATCAGTTATATTTATTTGCCGCTAACTTTGTATATCTGTGCTGAAGACCATAAATGAAAGAATAGTCTAGGGTCACTTCACTGTGCCTTATAATAGCCTTTTCTTAAAATTACTCTGGGAATGAGGTTATGTGTTTAGCTAGCAGTGTCTTAAGTCACGGCAGTTTCTTAGTGGATAATAGGAATTTTAAAAGGAATTTGTAATTATAAAAATGGAAGACTAAAATTACCCCATAGTTCTTTGACCCAGAATTATAACCACTGTTATTTGTTGAGTTATATTTTCTGTGTGTATGCATACAAATGCGTGCGGGCTTTGTACCTGACATATGTATGGTATTATATACCTTGCTTTTTTTGAGATTCTACTCTTGAGATTTTTCTTGCATCTTTAAGTTTTCTTTACAAATGTAACTATTAAGGGCTTTTATTCCTATTCTACCTTTAAGATGTACTTGAACCATCTAAAAGAGATCGGGCCAGGTAGTAAATAGTTTAAGTTTTGTGGGCTATATAGTTGCTATTGTACCTACTCAACCCTGCCATTCTGCCACTGAGTTCAAAAGCAGCCTTAAGCATTACAAAGACAAATTAGCATGATTGTGTTCCAATAATAGTTTATTGACCAGACAGATGCAGGCTGTAGTTTCCTAGTCCTTGAGCTAAAAACTTCCTAAGCCTACTTTTTGTATCTTGTAGAAAAAAAGCGACAATTTGAAATGAAAAGAAAGCTTCACTACAATGAAGGACTGAATATTAAATTAGCTAGACAATTAATTTCAAAAGACCTGCATGATGATGAGGAAGATGAAGAAATGTCAGAGACAGCAGCTGAAGAATGCATGAACGTGGAACAATCAAATCAAGGTTAGAGGTTTCTGAAATCATCACTGATACTCTCATGATTCTTTGTGCCTAAATAATATACTTTGTTTTGCTTTACACATAAGTTTGAAGAACCTCAGAAAAATTTTTTGAAATTCACTTATGCCAAACTTTCTAAAACTAAAATTTCAAGCCCTATGGCTAATTTCAAAATAAAGTTTTTGTGCCCAGGGTTGATTTAAGACCACGCATTAAGTATATGGCTGGGGTTTTTTTGTTTGTTTACTTAGTTTAAGCAGTGATGTTTATCTATACATTAAGCTGTGTTTTCTTTTTGATGTTTCAGATTGTATTTTATCTGTCATACCAATCTAAGGTTTAAACTTTTAAAGAAACCTGTTTTTAATATGGAAGACTTATTTAACATCCTTTCAAGTACAAAGTATGTCAGATCTTTCCAGTGTTGATTCTTTTGACTGTTGGATTGATAAAATATCTGGCTGATTTTTCTATTTGTTTTTAAGTCTCGGACAGTTAGCCCTTGCAACCTACCAGCTCTTGATCCATCATAGTGAATAGATTTTATTTATTTTTAATGAACTGTTATTCTGGTATTCAATGTAGATGAATCTTCTATACCGCTAATGCAGATTTTGTGCCCATTTACCTTCTCTTTGTACTTGAAAACTGATGCTTTGTACTTGAAAACTGGAGATGTAAGTTACTTTATTTGTTGTGCCTCATAGTTAAATCTCCGGAAAGTAAATAACTATTAGTGTTTTGGTGAGCATATATGAAATATGAGTCTGTGGTGTAGGACCTGATGATTGTGTCTCGTTTCATGTCCTAATTGTAATGTTTTTGTTATTCTATATTATGCTTTAGCCTTTCATTTTGTTTCATATAGCGTTTCATTTCCATTTTATTCACCATAGTTTTTTTTTTTTTTTTTAGTTTATATGTAACTGAACAAACTACATTTTAAGTAATTACTGTTACATATCTCTCTCTTCCTCTTTTAAAATTTATTATCCATTTTTAATAGGGACATACCCTAATCAGTCTTTGTTTCCCATTTACCTGTATATCTCAGTGATGTATTTTTTTATGAATTCAAAGTGAACATTTTTTTGGTTATAACTTTTCATCAATTTCTGCTCAGACTTTCAATTTCAATTCTTAGTGACAATGGCAAAGCACTAGGAATGCCCCTCATTTGCTGGAAATTTGCACCAGTACCGCTGTGCAAATATTGACAGGATTTTTTTTTTAAGTCATGACTTTTGACAAGTAACTCTGGCCTTTTGTCTGTCATTGCTTTTAAGACTTAGATTTCACACCTTTAGTAATGTAAACACATTTTTTTTTTCATTTAAATACAATAGATGATTAAAATTTGTGTTAGCTCAGTGCCTGATTTTTCTTCAGTAGGGATGAAGTACTCCTTACACAGGAATTTATCTTACTTAGCATTATAAAGTCCACAAGGATAGAAAAGACTGTAACAAGGCATAGGGAAGTAAATTCCTTATTTGTCCTCTACTCTTTTTGAGACTTAAAAAAAATAAAAATCTTAATTGGCTTTTAAAATCTGCAGGTCCTGGGGAGCCTGGGTGGTTCAGTCAGTTGAGCGTCTGACTTTGGCTTAGGTCACGATCGCATAGTCTGTAAGTTTGAGCCCTGCATCAGGCTCTGTGCTGACAGCTCAGAGCCTGGAGCCTGCTTCCTCTTCTGTGTCTCCCTCTCTCTCTGCCCCTCCCCCACTCATGCTCTGTCTCTTTCTCTGTCAAAAATAAATGAACATTAAAAAATTTTTTTAGAATATTTAGGAAATATACACATGATTTTATGTCAGACTGATTAGACTACATCATATATAACTTGTTTTTTAGGTTTTTATATTTGTTTATCATCCATAACAGTGGAAGGGAACTTTAGCTCAGGTAGTTAAGGTTGGCAGTACACAACAAATTATATTGACTTTTTTTCTTTTTTCTTTGCAGGATCTACTACAAGTGACCAACTGCAAAACAAATCACAGAGTTCATAGAAAAGACTTGTTCAACACTGTAATTGTCAGATATAAACCCTGTTACTATAATACACTGCTTCTTGTTCTCAACAATTCATGACTTAAGTACCAAAATGCATACCAATTATTATATATTGCCAAGAATTAAATAGAGACTAATTAGACTGAAATGCCTACTTGATACATATATTCTTGTGCCTAGTACTTCACCACAAATACAGCATAATGTCATCAGTCCAAAACTGAGGTTTTATAAGAACACTGGTTAATTTGTATAAGATATTATATAGCTTTTTATGCTTTAGAAGTTAAATAATATCTCTTGGGGGGGTTCTAATTTATTCACTTCTAGATGTGATAGCTCTTATAAAAAGGTTTTTTTTGTTTTTTGTTTTGTTTTGTTTTTTTTTAACTCAAATCCAGTTGGAGCAACCAACCAATTATATAGGCTGATAAAATACTGAGTCTAAGAAGTATTTTAACATGTGTCTTCAACTTGATTTGTCTGTTTAATTGAAAAGGATTATAAGAGTAATTGTTGCATTTTCTGGCCTACTATCTTTAAAATTACCCTTGAGTTTCTTTATGTTTACAAGGACAGGATTGAATTTTTTCTCATCAAAACTAGCTTTTTTCACAAATAAATTATCAGGTTAAACTTGCACTAACATCTGCTCTGTTTTTTGTACACTTGATGGGCAGACTTTCAGATCAGTTTTTTAAATAAATGTAATTCTAATATGGTCTCAACATTCCCTTTATATGCCTATTTTGACCTCCTGCTTTTGTTTCTTACTCCTTTCCACATATACATACACAGTCCTTTACCTTAATAAAAGGTCATAAAGACTGGCATGAAATTAGGAACTCCTCCTTCTCTCACATATTCTATCATTTGCTGCTACAATGAAATTTTTATTTTGAGTATCAATGCCTATTAGCTCTAATACATGGAGAAAATTGAATAGCACTGTACTATAGACAGGAAATACAGTTGAACTGCGGAATTTCTACACCTCTATGATTTACAGCTTGCTAATTAAATTGCTATAATTAGTTTATTGTTTGACTTGATTAGACCTTAGAAAACGACTAACAGGTTTTTTGCATGATGAGAGAATTGTGTGTAACCAGTGATATGATGATAATTGCTGAATGTACAGACAGAAGTAATCCTGAACAGTTTTTAATTTAGAATTTTTAAATAGTCCCTGCTTTAAAGGGAGTATGATAATGTATACTATGACAAATGTACTTTATTCTTCTAACACAGTAAGATCTGGATTTTTTTCCTGAGCTGAAGTGCAGTTCCTGTGTATCTTAGTTTAGTGGTAGTTTCATTTCTAGTCAATTATTTGTATCTTAATTTTTTGTCAGTACCAAAAGAATTCATTATATGAACAGACTTTTAAAATAGTTTCTGTATATTGTATATATGAAATGGCTTTTATTGAACAGCTTATCTTCCACTTGCAAGTTTATGGAAATACCAGTATGTCAGAATAAATAAAAAGTGGGAGAATTCTTTGTTGTTAGAAGAATGTGCTTATTATTTTGAATGGCGTTTTTTTAAATGGGATCCAATCAGAGGCTGTTTTTTTTAATTTTAGAGAGAGAGAGCATAAGCAGGGGAAAGGGGCAGAGGGATAGAGACAGAGAAAGAGAATCTTAAGCAGGCTCCATGCTCAGCGTGGAGCCCGACGTGAGGCTCGATCTCATGGCTGCGAGATCATGACCTGAGCCAAAGTTAAGACTTGGATCCTTAACTGACTGAGCCATCCAGGCGCCCCCAATCAGAGTGCCTCTAAGCTCTGTAGTATTCTAACAAACTTATTAGCTCATAATACCACTGATTTATAAACAAGATAGTTTTTATCTTTGCTTTCTGAATTTAGAAAGTTGAGGTATTCTTACCAGTTTATATCCGCTTTGGGGGATTTAAGCTTATATACATATGTGTGTACATATGTTCATGTACAAAGACTTCTTGGTTTTCTCATTTTGAGTTCTTAGAAAGTATCCACATGCTCTTTATTTGTGGAAATAACTGTTATATGGTGAGGAAAAGGTAAGGCTTTTAACGACCGATTTGCCTTACTCTTTTCTACAGACTGTCTCAAAATGTAAATCACAGGCAAACTCTCATTTCTGTTTTCAGGAAGTAGCTAATTATCTCAGAGGAGTAAGACATGGAAATTGGTATGCTCATTAGGATTTTAGGTAGTTGAATGTAACTGAGTAAAACTGTTTTCATCATGTTATGAATTCCTCATTGACTTGATATTGGACTATGTAAAAAATGAATCTTTATATAAGTTCAAGTTAGATTTTCCATGGAGAAAGTTATCTGTCAGTATTTAGTTCTAGCCAAGGTAGATTTTATTTTCAACTTTGTAGTCCGTATCATTTCTGCTTAACTCTTTGGGTATCATCTTTTTTATTCACTTTTCAGTCTGACATTCAGCAGTGATGCTCTTTAAAGTCTGAGACATATAATGGTATGAAAGATTGTTAAAATAAGAATAAATTGAATATGGAAGGAAAGTGCGATTTTCCCTTAGACATTCATTTCATTTACATTTTTCCTCTTTTAAGTTAGTATAGTAAACATTGTAATAAACTATAGTAGTATGACCATTTTCTGCCTGTGGATTTTATTTTCTTGCTACCCGGCTATTTTAGGACTATTCTGTTGGTCAAGTGTTCTGGATACCAGGAGGGGATCTTGGACTATATTGTAGCAAATCAGTTGTTTTGTGATGGAAATGGTAACAAGAGCTACCATTTCTTGAGAACATATTGTTTGTTCTTGCCCAGCATTGTGCTAGGTCTTCAATATCCAATCCTTAAAAACAACCACACAAAGCAAGTGTTCTTATTAATACTTTGTAGTGAGGAAAAAGCTGTTGGCCAAGTTATTCAATCTCAGTTTCTCGTAAATGATAATGACAGGATCAAATCCAGACCAACTAAATATTATCCTCTTTATCCATGCTTTTTCAGATGTAGAAAATTATCTTAGAAATTGCATCTTACAAATAAACTTTATTTGGATTACTGATACACATTGTGTGCTATAGAAGTAATATTTTTCTAGAGTGTTTAGTTTGAGATTTAATTTCTTGTTTTAATCTTAAAACTTGGGAATAATTTTATTTTGTTTGAGGTTAATATGCCACTTAGAAAAAAAATCTCAAGCACAAATAATCAGTGGCTGTAGATATCTAAATACATGTGATTTGGTTGTGTTTGGCAAGTTTATTCCTAAGCAAGTTGTTCCAAAACTCAGAACATAATTTTTTCATAGAACCAATATTATGAAGTAAGAACTAAACTAGCCTATAAAAACATAACATGTACCTAAACCAGTATTTTCCAGTGTGTTCCGTGAAACCCGCATCTTTCAATATGTGAGATATGGAAAGCATTCCGTGAGCAAATAAGCTTTGCACATAGTATGTACTTTATTCCCCTACTCTCCTGGAGATTTAAAATAATGTTGATCATCATATTAAAGAGTCGGAGACATCCTTCATAAACAATCTGTTTAAAACAGTTTACCATTTTCAAATATATTTCACTATAACTTCCTTTCCCTCAAGTAATATACCAAATAGAAGTAGGGGAACATGATGGTTGAACTTCCTCCTAAAAGAGGAAGAGAATGGTTCACCATTGAAAGAGGGAAGGCAAGGTAGCAATAACTAACTGCACAGTAGTTATAGGTTGTATGTAATTTATTAAACGTAAGACTTTAATATTTGGTAATTTATAACTGGAAGTTTGTACCTCTTAATCCCCTTCATCTGTTTTTCCCATCCCCTTGCTCCCCTTCTTGCTGGCAGCTACTAGTTCTCCTTATTTATGGGTCAGTTTCTGTTTTGTTTATTCATTTGTTTTGATTTTTAGATTCTACATGTGAAATCATACCATATTTGTCTTTGTCTGACTTATTTCATTTACTAGCATAGTACTCTCTAGGCCCATCCTTGTCACGAACGGCAAGATTTGCTTCTTATTGCTGAATACTACTCTCTTGTGTATATATACCACATCTTTATTCATCTATTGATGGACACACATGTTGCTTCCATATGTTGGCTATTGTAAATAATGCTGCAGTAAACATAGGAATACGTATATACTTTTGAATTAGTGTTTTCCTTTTCTTCAGATAAGTACCCAGAAATGGATTTACTGGGTCATATGGTGTTTAAAATTTTTTAAAATTTTGAGGAATCTCCATTGTGTTTTTTAGTCACTGTACCAATATACATTCCCACCAACAGTGCATGAGTGTTCCATTTGTCCACATTACCAACACTCATTGTGGTTTTGATTTATATTTTTCTGATGACTAGTGATGTTGAGAATCTTTTCTTGTGAGAGTTCTTTATATATTCTGGATATTAACCCCTTATCAGATACACAGTTTGCAAATACTTCTTTTATTCAGTAGATGGCCTTTTCATTTTGTGGATGGTTTCTTTACTGTGTAAAAAGCCTTTTAGTTTGATGTAGTCCCAGTTGTTTATCTTTGCTTTTGTTGCCCTTGCCAGAGGAGACTATATCTGTATCTGTATTTGTATCTGTATCTATACACATACATACAGCTAAGACCAGCATCTAAGAGTTTACTGCCTATATTTTCTTTCAAGAGTTTTATAGTTTCAGGTCTTAATATTTAGGTCTTGAATCCATTTTGAGTTTATTTTTTACATGGTGTGAGTCGTGGTCAGTTTCATTGTATAGTCCCCATTGTATATTTTTGCCTCCTTTGACATAGATTAATTAACTGTGTAAGTGTGGATTTCTTTCTGGGCTCTCTGTTCTGTTAGTCTTTTGGATTTTTCTTTTTTGTGTATGTGCCACTATTTTTGTGTGTGTGCCAGTTCCATACTGTTTTGATTACTATAGCTTTGATTACTATACTAGTATAGTTAGAAATCTGAAGTGTGATGCCTCTAGCTTTGTCTTCTTTCTCAAGATTAGTTTGGCTATTTGGGGTCTTTTGTGGTTTCATACAAATTTTAGGATTCTTTGTTCTAGTTCTGTGAAAATTGCTACTGATATTTTGATAGGGAATGCATTGAATTTGTAGATTGCTTTGGGTAATATGGACATTTTAATGATACTGATTATTCCAGTCCATGAGCGTGGTATATCTTTCTATTCATTGGTATATCTTCTGTTACAAATAATAGAGCCTTCAGTTTCTTTTATCAGCATCTTACAGTTTTCAGAGTACAGGTCTTTCACCTCCTTGGTTAAATTTATTTCTGTGTATTCTTCTTGATGGAATTGTAAATGGAATTGTTTTCTTAGTTTCTCTTACTGTTGGTTTGTTAATAGTGTATTAAAACACAGCATTTCTGTGTATATTTTGTATTTTGAAACTACTGAATTCATTTATTCTGATATTTTTGTTGTGTGGAGTCTTTAGGGTTTTCTGTGTGTAGTGTCATGTCCTCTACAGTTGTGAGTTTTACTTCTTACTTACCAACTTGGATACTTTTTATCTTTTTTTTTTTTTTTTTGTCTGATTGCTGTGGCTAGGGCTGCTAGTACTGTGTTGAATAAAAGTGGTAGGAGTAGGCATCCTTGTCTTGCTCTTTATTTTAGAGGAAAGGTTTTCAGCTTTTTCTGTTGAGTGTGATGTTAACTGTGGGTTTGTCATATATGGCCTTTATTGAGGTTTGTTCCTTCTCTATGTATTTTTTTTAGTTTTTATCATAAGTGGATGTT